CAGTTTGACCGGTCAGGCTGCAAACTGCACTCAAACTTTAATCTGGCAGGGCGTGGGTACTTTGTGGTGGGTACTTTGTGGTGGGTACTTTGTGGTGGGTACTTTGTGGTGCCAGGTGGAGCAGTGTGATGTCTATGAGGTCAGAGGTCAGCCTCGTGTCTCTGTGTGGCGCTAGGCCCGCCCCCTTGGGAGAGGAGCTTCAGAGGAGCCAGCTGCTGCTGGTCCACAGCCACCTGCAGTACGAGCGCTTCAAGCGGCAGCAGCACGCCATCAGGAACCGGCGCCTGCTGCGTCGGGTCATCAACGCCACGGCACTGGAGGAGCAGACGGTCGCCATGGTAACAGTCCCCGCCCACACCGACCGTCCGGCAGCGGGGCGTCTCCCGGTCTGACCCTCTGCTGTGTTCGGAGGCAGAAGGCGCAACTGGGCGTTCAGGACCAGGAGATCCGCAGCCTGAGGTCCAGTCTGAGCGAAGAGCAGCGGCGCCTCGACCAGCTGCAGCAGGACGGACAGACCCAAACGGACCGCCTGCTTCACCAGAACCAGCAGCTGCTGCTGCAGCAACAACGCCACCAGCAGGAACACCAGCGGCTGCAGGTCAGCAGCAGGCACACACCGCTCTCTGCTCCTATTGGCTGACTAACAGTAACGTGTGTTGTGATTGGCTGTTTCAGAGCAATCTGGAGGACTGTCATGGCCGGCTGAGGAAGCTGGAGGCGGAGCTCCAGGGAGCCAATAGGAAGGCCAAACACGCTGAGCACCAGCTGACCCAGCTGGGCCTGAAGGTGAGGGCAACTCTGATTGGCTGAGTGAACAGGAAGTGGTTCTGGTACCGCACAGATCCGGAGGTGACATCAGACTCTTGAGCCGTGAAAATGATCTGATGTTTGGAGCCGCTGTTGATCGTCTATCCGGCATGTCGGGAAGCCAGTCCAGGATTCATTCTGGTTCTGTTGGACCCAGTGGCGGCTCCGGCCCGGTTTTAGGGCTGGATTACCGCCCCACCGTAAACCACCGTTAAATGTCGCGTCTCGTATTGAACCGATACATAACTACCAATAGACAAACCTGTCACACACAGAAACACTGAATGGAACAATAATGACCAACATAAAACAGGAAATATGAAGGTCAGCTAAATTCTTGTGGCGGGAGCCGAAGGACCCCTGAATGCTACGAGCCGTAGCTGCCGTCACGGTCGCCTAGAGGCGGACGCTACGCGGCCCGGTGAGCCGCTAGCCGATACGCCGCCGTCCTGAGAAGCAAAAACGGGCAGAAATCCAGACCTGAGGAGGAAGACGCAGAAACCAGGATGGAAGATGTGACCCTGACCCTAACGACCATCAATGGACAGAAATGTTTTTCTGAATGTGATGGTCAGTGGTCATGTAATGTATTAATTCACTATTATTTCATTAATGTGGTCCCAGTTTGGATAACCAGACTTCCTATCAAAGAAGAAAAAAACATGCTAGCAAAACCTGAACCGGACCTGCAGCCCAGGAACAGCGGGATCATGGATACAGGCGGCGGATCGACTGAACCCGGCGGGCGGGCGGCGGAGCGTGACATGATGAATGCAAGTGTAGCTTTATGAAGAACCAGAAAATGGATTTCATATCGTCCCGGTCTCAACAAATGGGCAGCGAAGCTTATCGTGGCGTTGCAGAAATGAGCTTCTGTGTGTGACGGACTAAGGAGTCAAAACCCGTCGCTAACATGAACACAGCTATAAATATCTGGGCAAGGTCAGAGTTCATCTGTTAAACTGACTGGAGATGAAAACAGAAACCAAAAGCTGGAGCCTGACTGTGAGCCTGACTCTTTATTATTGAACTGAATATCATTTCAGATTTTTGTCCAACTTTTCTTCAGGTTAACTCAGAAAGTGAGCCGTTATTGTTATGGCTTGATTTTCTGAACTCCAGAAAAGTTATTGTTAGGAAAACTCAACTGAAAAACTGGACTGATGTTGATATCCCATAGTAATACTGCTGTTGGAATAGATTAACAATGCTTTATTTAATCCGATTAATCGTAAGAATAATCAAGAGATTACTCGATTACTAAAATATTGGTCAACAACCTGAGATAGGATCCCGTGCTCCAGCTGATAGGTCAGGATCTGAGTCTCTGGAGACACAAGTGGATCTTTGGCTCACTTATTATATCAAATGATGAAATATTGCTCCATCTTTTGTTCGCTTCTTTAAGTGTTGCTGTGAAACACACTGACCTGGACAGGTCTGTGTGACTCCACAGCTGCTGGCTGGTCTATTTAGTGTTAGCAGGTCTGATGTTCTCTGGTTATAAATGTACAGCTCTGGAAAAAATGATCAGCTTCTGATTTTACTCTTTGTCGGTGCATGTTTAAGTAAAGATAGTTGATCTACTGACAAAAGCAAAAACTTAGTATTTACTTTCAGAAAATGAGAAAAGGTGAAAATAAAAAAAATGCAGTGCTTTCAGACCTTGAATAATGCAAAGAAAACAAGTTTAGATTCATTTATAATCAACAAAACTAATGTTTTAACTGAGGAAGAGTCAGAAATCAATAACCAGGAGGTTTTCAATGGGGTTCAGTGCAGTGGTTTATTCCACATCTGTTTGTAGTTATTTACAGTTTTAGTTGGACAAAATGATTTAAAGTGTAAGTAAATAAGCAGTGACGTTTAGAAAAATGAACCAATGAATAAGTTCTCCCCTAAAGCTCAGATCCTAGAATGTCTTCAGATCTTCCATGGGTTCTACTGGACCAGCAGAACCGGAGCGAATCCCTTCCAGCTCTCTGGTTACTGGTGTGTTTCTGCAGCTGTGCAGCAGTGAGCAGCAGCAGCAGCAGGTCCTTCTGCTGGACAAGCAGCTCGTCCTGCTGAGGGAAACCAACAGAGCTCTGAGCCGGCAGCTGGACGAGGCCGCTGCCCACAGCCGGACCGTAAGTCCACCGAGCTCTCTGACCATTGGCCGGCGAGAACCGTCTGTAAACCTGCTGCCTTCCCAGGAGGAGGCCATGCTGCGGCGCAGCGCGGGGAACGACTTCCAGAGGCTGAAGGACTGCGACGTCCTGCAGAAACAGAAGCTGGAGGCGGCCAGCCACAGGATGGCGGAGCTGGAGAGCCAGCTGGCCAGGAAGGACAAACTGATCCTGGAGCTGAAGAAGCTGCTGGAGGAAACCAAGAGCCACAGCAGGTCAGAGTCCGGCGGCGGCAGCCCAGCAGAACCTCTCAGTGTTTCTGTTCAGGACCTTTTGCTAGGAGTGGAGTTAGCCTGTTAGCCGCCGTTGAGCTTCGCTCAGACATTTTAACTGCAGTTCAACCTGCTGTGCTTCAGGGCGGAGCTGTCGGCCTCAGAGAGCCGATGTGTGGCCCTGAGGAGAGTCAGCCAGACGCTGCAGACTGAGATGCTCCACCTGTACAGCCAGGTTCGACTGGACACTCGGACAGGAAGTGACACGTGCACACTGCCGCCTCTGGATGCCGGCAGCAGGTAAGGCCTTCAGCTCTGAACTCGGCATGAAGCGCTGGCTGCAGGTCTGCTGATGTCATCTGTGTCTGTCTCTGGCCGATCAGAAACAGCCCCTCCGCTCAGGATGGCAACAAGCCCTGCCCCTCTTCTTCTTCTGTTGTGGGAATCATAAAGGGCGCCGTGGAGGCCCTCTCCTCCTCCTCGCCCCTCTCCGCCTCGCCCATCGACTCCCCACTGGCTGTGGGATCTTTCCTGGAGCAGCAGGCGCGGCGGCTGTTTGGGCAGAACGACCAGAGCCTGGAGGAGGAGGAGACAGAGGAGGTCCCAGCAGGGAGCCCTCCTCTGGGTCAGGAGGTGGAGGAGGCCACCCTCCTCGCTGGGAGTCCTCAGACGGAGCCTTCCGCTCCAGCTGCAGACCTGGAGCTCAGCGTCTGCCAGCGGAGAGGTGAGCTCGGCATCATGGACTACAACGAGTCGCTGCCTGAGTTCTGATGCAGGAGCAGCAGGAGGAGTTCACCTCCATGGGAACCTGGACCGTCAGACTGGACCGTCAGACTGGACCGTCTTGGATCAACAGGAAGCAGAATCGCTCTCCACTTCCTGAATTAGAGCCAGATTAATGAGATGTTGAGATAAAATTAGTTTCTCATCCTGATCAACTCTGGATTGTCTCAGGTTTATGATCAACCAATCAGTGATCAGGTCATTTTTATTGATTGATCTGTGTTTTTTCTGTTTCCTCCTTGCTAATCTGAAGAATAAAGTCAACTGGAGCTTCATTGTCATCTCAGTCATTTACAAGCAACGGCAGCAGCAGCTTCACACTTGAACCAACGATGAGAAGATCAATAAACTGTCAAATATTCAGAAACTTTACCTGAAGAAACGTGTGGAGAGCAGCGGTCAGTGTTTGGGCAGCAGGGGAAGAAACTTCCTGACAGTAAAACACGACAATCATGGAGTGTTGAATAGTTTAATGACATCATCACTGGATGGATGGACGGATGGATGGATGGATGGATGGATGGACTACAAAGAGCCCATTGCTTTCATTATTATTAACAGTAATTTTACCACTGAGTGGAGAGACACGTTCTGCTTTTAGATTTTTAAAGCGTTAATAAATATGTAAACTTCTCTTTCGCAATTTCTCCATTTTAGTTTGATAAACACCAGTTAGTGAGAAATGTCCCCAGATCTGCTCACCTTATGATCTACGAGCTAGCAGCTACGAGCTAGCAGCTCAGACCGTGTTTGAGTCTCGGTACATTTTGAACGAGTCACAGGCCGGAGAACCGGAGAACCGGAGAACCGGGTCCAGGTCAGACCCGTTTCGCCTTAACGAAAGAACACCGTCACAGTGTAGCCGTTGCCAGGTAACCAGTCCCTCTCTGCACGTTTACCGATGACGTCATTCCATAGCAACAAACCAACGCGTCTTAGCAACTGCCAGTGAGACCTGAAGAAGAAAGTTCGTCCATTTTGTTTGCATCTCATCCGGAAGGGGAGCAGAAACCGCAGGTAAGTAACACAGTTCGAAGGAAACCTGGTTGGGTTCGGTACTTTAGTGCCTTGACGTCTCAGACCCAGTTTAACATCCATGAACCCGGAACGGAACCGGACCTGTGAAAATCTGTTCCCTGTGTCGGGAACGCGCATTGCAGCCAGAGAGGCGGATCATTTTCACTCCGGAACCTTTAGAGGAAAATATTAATGTTATTATCATAATTAGTAAATCTGTAGGCCTATCTATCTATCTATCTATCTATCTATCTATCTATCTATCTATCTATCTATCTATCTATCTATCTATCTATCTATCTATCTATCTGTCTGTCTGTCTGTCTGTCTGTCTGTCTGTCTGTCTGTCTGTCTGTCTGTCTGTCTGTCTGTCTGTCTGTCTGTCTGTCTGTCTGTCTGTCTGTCTGTCTGTCTGTCTGTCTGTCTGTCTGTCTATCTGTCTGTCTATCTGTCTGTCTGTCTATCTGTCTGTCTATCTGTCTGTCTGTCTGTCTGTCTGTCTGTCTGCCTGTCTGTCTGTCTATTATTATTATTGTTTTAACTGTGTTACTTTAAGAACGGAAGCCCCTCCCCTTTTATCATGTTGTCTTATGGGAGAGGTGTGTATTATTTATTTTGTATCTAAATGCATCCAGTTTATTTATAGATTTATTAAGTTCATTTCTGTTATGTACTTTTGTTTATGGAGGGCTTGGAGCGGGCCGCCGGTAACACGGTTATTTTCTACTTGTTGTTCTTGTCAGAATAAACCCTTTTAAAGGTGAACCACGGCCTGGTCATTTAAAACCAGCACAACGCAGATCGGATCCGGTTACATATACATTAGTGTTGGTTGTTCATTGATGTGCACTGTCCTTAATAAAGATTAAACTGGTTAATAAATTATATTTGTTCACTGTGTTTGATATTGATCCTTACAGGTCTTTGATAGTTTACGTCTCAAGGCCGTTTTGACAAATGAAGAGAACATTTTTCTGGTCAATTAATTGGTTCCCATGTTTTGGAGGGAACAGATTATTTTATGATCATATGAATTGTTTTATAGATAAATTGATGAGAAGCGACGTGAAAACGATCAGCTCCGCCTCTCTGGCTGCAGTGCGCGTTCCCGACACAGGGAACAGATTTTCACAGGGGAACCGAATTTCGCAGAAGCCCGGTTCTGGTTCTGGTCTCAGGTTAGCTGCGACTGCTTCCGGCTTGTTTGTCTCTAAATATGATTTGGATCATGAGTGGCTGATCGGAACATTTCCAGTCCTTATGACGCTACTTGCGACCTGAACTCTGACCCTTTATGGGTCATAAAACTGGATTGTTACATTATTGCTGTTGATGCTGGAGAAGGAAGGAGCTCCTGTAGAGGTCAGTGTTGCAGACATTCCTGAACCCTCTGAATGAAGATGCTCAACTTTTTCCTACTCCATCATCTCCAGAGGCACCAGTTACCGTGACAGCCATGGTAACAGAGACCGGAAGCTCAGAGGAGCTGGCTGTAAACGTCACGTCAGTAAATTTCTGTAACTCCGTCACGAGATTATTTCACAGGCGGATGATTTCATACTTTACAAACCCGATCATACGGCCTCGAGCGAAATATATTATCTGAGCTTCTCTCCGTGGTGCGTTCACCGAACAGTTTTTTTTGTGTTGCATTCACTGACCTCGGGAGCGTGGGATGGATGAGACCCTGAAGCCGCTGAGGATTCCTCCTCAGATCAGCGTCTACGCAGACAAACACAACGTGTCTCACCTGGTGGAGGTAACAGCACCACCTGCAGGCGCTCATGTGCAATGGCGGCCCACCACTGACCTGCTGTGTGTGTGTGTGTGTGTGTGTGTGTGTGTGTGTGTGTGTGTGTGTGTGTGTGTGTGTGTGTGTGTGTGTGTGTGTGTGTGTGTCAGAGCATGGTGACCGGCTTGGTGTTGGAGCAGCCAGACGATCCGATCTCCTACCTGATCAGTTTCCTGAAGAGGCTCAGCCTGGATAGTGAGTGTCAACAGGGTCGGTCTGTTTGGTTTGGGCTGGTTCTGTTGGACCCAGACGGCAGCAGAACCAGGAACCGGGTCAGCCAGAGCGGGGTTTGACCCGGTCCAGGTACGGTCCTCACCGGGCCGTGTTGCTCTGCTCAGGTCCCAAGGTGCTGCTGCTCGGCCCGCCCGCTGTCGGCAAACACACGCTGGTCAGTTCACGTGACATCACTTCCTGTTATCACTTCCTGCCCATCTTCTGCTCGTCTCACTGCTTCCTCTTCTTCTGTGGTTTACCAGGCGAAGACGCTGAGTAATGAACTGAGAGCCATTTACCTGACCGCCGAGAGTTTGCTGAAGGGACTCAGTGAGGAGGTGAGAACCGGAGGCCACGCCCACTTCCTGTTATATAAAAGGGCCCTGGTTCTCCAGACCCGGTTCTGGGCCCTGGTTCTCCTCCAGGTTCCCTGTCCTGCATTAGGCATGATTTGAGTTGCTGTCTGATGAAGAGCCGTTTGCTGATTTGCAGTCATTGTGGTGAAGCAGGAGAACCTCAGGAACCTCAGATACCTGAGGTTCCTGAGGTTCCTGAGGAAACTCAGGTGAAAGTGGAAACTCAGGTTCTGCACACAGAAAGGTTGTGGCTCCCGATTGGTTCTATTTTTCCTGAAGTTCTAGAGGGTGTCTGTGGGTTCTGGTCAGGTCCAGTTCTTGTCTTGACTACCTGATGGTACCACCTCCTCTCCTTGCTCCCTCCTTATGCCTCCACCTCCGCCGTGCTCCAACATGGAGTCACATGACCTGCATGTCTCTGTTCAGGAAGATTCTGCTGAGATTCTGGTCCAAAGGCTGCAACGGAGACTGAAGGAGACGGACTGCTTTCACAAGGTGAGTCCAGGAGAACCGGGTTCCACTGCTGCTGTTGTGCTAAGACCCAGTAGAACCAGCAGAACCAGTGAGTGATCAGCACTAAATCATCTTCAGTTTTTCTCTTTTCTTCTGAACTCAACAAACAGCTGAACTTTCAGGCGGCAGGATCAGAGTGTGTGTGTGTGTGTGTGACTGTGTGTGTGTGTGTGTGTGTGTGTGTGTGTGACTGTGTGTGTGTGTGTGTGTGTGTGTGACTGTGTGTGTGTGTGTGTGTGTGAGTGTGTGTGTGTGTGTGAGTGTGTGTGTGTGTGAGTGGGGGTGTGTGTGACTGTGTGTGTGTGTGTGTGTGACTGTGTGTGTGTGTGTGTGTGTGTGTGTGACTGTGTGTGTGTGTGTGTGTGTGTGACTGTGTGTGTGTGACTGTGTGTGTGTGTGTGACTGTGTGTGTGTGTGTGTGTGTGACTGTGTGTGTGTGTGTGTGTGTGTGTGTGACTGTGTGTGTGTGTGTGTGTGTGTGACTGTGTGTGTGTGTGTGTGTGTGTGTGTGACTGTGTGTGTGTGTGTGTGTGTGTGTGTGTGTGTGTGTGTGTGTGACTGTGTGTGTGTGTGTGTGTGTGTGTGTGTGTGACTGTGTGTGTGTGTGACTGTGTGTGTGTGACTGTGTGTGTGTGTGTGTGTGTGTGTGTGTGTGTGTGTGTGTGTGTGTGTGTGTGTGTGTGTTTGGCTTTATCTTCTTTGCCGTTGCTGCTGGCAAAGCATCACCTGTCTTTCTCAGGTGATGCTAAAGTTTGGACTGAGACCTGCAGCTTTCAGAGGCTGCTGGTGAACACATTGGACCGGTTCTGGTTCTAGTACTGTAGGTCACCACCGTGCAGCTGAACTCCAGCTGTCAGTGGTTCTTCCTGACCCTGACAGACAGCGCTGAGCATTCACTGACACGACCGGAACGGACCGGGCCGGAGCTAAAGCTTCGGGTCGCACTGATCTGGACTGGATGGTCTCTGGGACCTCCAGAGGTGGTTTCCTAGTTCTGTCGGGTCAGAACCAGGAAATGATGGTTCCAGGCTTTGGTTGGACTTGATGGAGAAACACTGAATGAAGGGTCCCTGGTTCTGATCCGGATTCAGTAACAGAACCTTAGACAGCATTTTCCATCCAGCATCAGGAGGTTCTGTTGGCCGTTCCAGGGCTGGGTGCTGGTTGGAATTCCTCAGACCCGTGTCCAGGTTCTGCAGCTCCAGCGGGCTGGAATCATCCCAGAACACGTTGGTAAGAACCGATGAAGCCTCTCGGCCGGGCCTGTCGATTCTGCAACTGATCCGAAAAGTTCTGCTGTGTTGGCAGTGATGCTGGACGCTCCAGAGGAAGTTCTGCTGCAGAGGAACAACGGCAAGCTCACCGACCCCGTCACTGGAGGTGAGTCCGGCTCGGCTCGGTCTCGTCACAGGACATCGGAACCTCCTCAGCATCACTTCCTGTCCCCAGACATCTACCATCAGCTCTTCATTCAACCGGAGAACGACACCATCAGAAGGCGTCTGGAGAGGCGACGGGGCCCGTCTGACGAGCAGCTATTGGCCGAGATGCAGCGCTACCGCTGTGAGGTCACAGCTCTGAAATCGGCCTATCAGCACGTCCTGAAGGTCTTCAACGCAGACCAGCCTCCTGCTGACGTCTACCAGCAAGGTGGAGCCATCAGAGGGGGCGGAGCCTGATTACGTGACCACTATATAGCATACAGACATGAAAGCAACAATCTGCCCACTTCCTGTTGCCTTCATCCTACTTCTTGTTACCTCTGTCCTACTTCCTGTTTCTTCTGTCCTACTTCCTATTACTTCTGTCCTACTTCCTGTTCCTCTGTCCTACTTCCTGTTACCTCTGTCCTACTTCCTGTTACCTCTATCCTACTTCCTGTTACCTCTGTCCTACTTCCTGTTACTTCTGTCCTACTTCCTGTTACTTCTGTCCTACTTCCTGTTACCTCTGTCCTACTTCCTATTACTTCTGTCCTACTTCCTGTTCCTCTGTCCTACTTCCTCTTACCTCTCTCCTACTTCCTGTTACCTCTGTCCTACTTCCTGTTACCTCTGTCCTACTTCCTGTTACCTCTGTCCTACTTCCTGTTACTTCTGTCCTACTTCCTGTTCCTCTGTCCTACTTCCTGTTACCTCTGTCCTACTTCCTGTTTCTTCTGTCCTACTTCCTGTTCCTCTGTCCTACTTCCTGTTTCTTCTGTCCTACTTCCTATTACTTCTGTCCTACTTCCTGTTCCTCTGTCCTACTTCCTCTTACCTCTCTCCTACTTCCTGTTACTTCTGTCCTACTTCCTCTTACCTCTCTCCTACTTCCTGTTACCTCTGTCCTACTTCCTGTTGCCTCTGTAATACTTCCTGTTACCTCTGACCTACTTCCTGTTTCTTCTGTCCTACTTCCTATTACTTCTGTCCTACTTCCTTTTACTTCTGTCCTACTTCCTGTTACCTCTGTCCTACTTCCTGTTACCTCTATCCTACTTCCTGTTACCTCTATCCTACTTCCAGTGACCTCTGTCCTACTTTCTGTTACTTCTGTCCTACTTCCTGTTACCTCTGTCCTACTTCCTGTTTCTTCTGTCCTACTTCCTATTACTTCTGTCCTACTTCCTGTTCCTCTGTCCTACTTCCTCTTACCTCTCTCCTACTTCCTGTTACCTCTGTCCTACTTCCTGTTACTTCTGTCCTACTTCCTGTTCCTCTGTCCTACTTTCTGTTACCTCTGTCCTACTTCCTGTTTCTTCTGTCCTACTTCCTATTACTTCTGTCCTACTTCCTGTTCCTCTGTCCTACTTCCTGTTACCTCTGTCCTACTTCCTGTTTCTTCTGTCCTACTTCCTGTTCCTCTGTCCTACTTCCTGTTACCTCTGTCCTACTTCCTGTTACCTCTTTCCTACTTCCTATTACTTCTGTCCTACTTCCTGTTCCTCTGTCCTACTTCCTGTTACCTCTGTCCTACTTCCTGTTACCTCTATCCTACTTCCTGTTACCTCTGTCCTACTTCCTATTACTTCTGTCCTACTTCCTGTTCCTCTGTCCTACTTCCTCTTACCTCTCTCCTACTTCCTGTTACCTCTGTCCTACTTCCTGTTACCTCTGTCCTACTTCCTGTTACCTCTGTCCTACTTCCTGTTTCTTCTGTCCTACTTCCTATTACTTCTGTCCTACTTCCTATTACTTCTGTCCTACTTCCTGTTACCTCTGTCCTACTTCCTGTTACCTCTATCCTACTTCCTGTTACCTCTATCCTACTTCCTGTTACCTCTGTCCTACTTCCTGTTACTTCTGTCCTACTTCCTGTTACCTCTGTCCTACTTCCTGTTTCTTCTGTCCTACTTCCTATTACTTCTGTCCTACTTTCTGTTCCTCTGTCCTACTTCCTCTTACCTCTCTCCTACTTCCTGTTACCTCTGTCCTACTTCCTGTTTCTTCTGTCCTACTTCCTGTTACCTCTGTCCTACTTCCTGTTACCTCTGTCCTACTTCCTGTTTCTTCTGTCCTACTTCCTATTACTTCTGTCCTACTTCCTGTTCCTCTGTCCTACTTCCTCTTACCTCTCTCCTACTTCCTGTTACCTCTGTCCTACTTCCTGTTACCTCTGTCCTACTTCCTGTTACCTCTGTCCTACTTCCTGTTTCTTCTGTCCTACTTCCTATTACTTCTGTCCTACTTCCTGTTACTTCTGTCCTACTTCCTGTTACCTCTGTCCTACTTCCTGTTACCTCTATCCTACTTCCTGTTACCTCTATCCTACTTCCTGTTACCTCTGTCCTACTTCCTGTTACTTCTGTCCTACTTCCTGTTACCTCTGTCCTACTTCCTGTTTCTTCTGTCCTACTTCCTATTACTTCTGTCCTACTTTCTGTTCCTCTGTCCTACTTCTTCTTACCTCTCTCCTACTTCCTGTTACCTTTGTCCTACTTCCTGTTTCTTCTGTCCTACTTCCTATTACTTCTGTCCTACTTCCTGTTCCTCTGTCCTACTTCCTCTTACCTCTCTCCTACTTCCTGTTACCTCTGTCCTACTTCCTGTTGCCTCTGTACTACTTCCTGTTACCTCTGTCCTACTTCCTGTTTCTTCTGTCCTACTTCCTATTACTTCTGTCCTACTTCCTGTTCCTCGGTCCTACTTCCTGTTACCTCTGTCCTACTTCCTGTTACCTCTGTCCTACTTCCTGTTGCCTCTGTCCTACTTCCTGTTACCTCTGTCCTACTTCCTGTTTCTTCTGTCCTACTTCCTATTACTTCTGTCCTACTTCCTGTTCCTCTGTCCTACTTCCTCTTACCTCTCTCCTACTTCCTGTTACCTCTGTCCTACTTCCTGTTACTTCTGTCCTACTTCCTGTTCCTCTGTCCTACTTCCTGTTACCTCTGTCCTACTTCTTGTTTCTTCTGTCCTACTTCCTATTACTTCTGTCCTACTTCCTGTTCCTCTGTCCTACTTCCTGTTACCTCTGTCCTACTTCCTGTTACTTCTGTCCTACTTCCTGTTCCTCTGTCCTACTTCCTGTTACCTCTGTCCTACTTCCTATTACCTCTGTCCTACTTCCTGTTCCTCTGTCCTACTTCCTGTTACCTCTATCCTACTTCCTGTTACCTCTATCCTACTTCCTGTTACCTCTGTCCTACTTCCTGTTACTTCTGTCCTACTTCCTGTTCCTCTGTCCTACTTCCTGTTTCCTCTGTCCTACTTCCTATTACTTCTGTCCTACTTTCTGTTCCTCTGTCCTACTTCCTCTTACCTCTCTCCTACTTCCTGTTACCTCTGTCCTACTTCCTATTACTTCTGTCCTACTTCCTGTTCCTCTGTCCTACTTCCTGTTACCTCTGTCCTACTTCCTGTTTCTTCTGTCCTACTTCCTATTACTTCTGTCCTACTTCCTGTTCCTCTGTCCTACTTCCTCTTACCTCTCTCCTACTTCCTGTTACCTCTGTCCTACTTCCTGTTACCTCTGTCCTACTTCCTGTTACCTCTGTCCTACTTCCTGTTTCTTCTGTCCTACTTCCTATTACTTCTGTCCTACTTCCTATTACTTCTGTCCTACTTCCTGTTACCTCTGTCCTACTTCCTGTTACCTCTATCCTACTTCCTGTTACCTCTATCCTACTTCCTGTTACCTCTGTCCTACTTCCTGTTACTTCTGTCCTACTTCCTGTTACCTCTGTCCTACTTCCTGTTTCTTCTGTCCTACTTCCTATTACTTCTGTCCTACTTTCTGTTCCTCTGTCCTACTTCCTCTTACCTCTCTCCTACTTCCTGTTACCTCTGTCCTACTTCCTGTTTCTTCTGTCCTACTTCCTATTACTTCTGTCCTACTTCCTGTTCCTCTGTCCTACTTCCTCTTACCTCTCTCCTACTTCCTGTTACCTCTGTCCTACTTCCTGTTGCCTCTGTACTACTTCCTGTTACCTCTGTCCTACTTCCTGTTTCTTCTGTCCTACTTCCTATTACTTCTGTCCTACTTCCTATTACTTCTGTACTACTTCCTGTTACCTCTGTCCTACTTCCTGTTACCTCTATCCTACTTCCTGTTACCTCTATTCTACTTCCTGTTACCTCTGTCCTACTTCCTGTTACTTCTGTCCTACTTCCTGTTACCTCTGTCCTACTTCCTGTTTCTTCTGTCCTACTTCCTATTACTTCTGTCCTACTTTCTGTTCCTCTGTCCTACTTCCTCTTACCTCTCTCCTACTTCCTGTTACTTCTGTCCTACTTCCTGTTACTTCTGTCCTACTTCCTGTTCCTCTGTCCTACTTCCTGTTACCTCTGTCCTACTTCCTGTTTCTTCTGTCCTACTTCCTATTACTTCTGTCCTACTTCCTGTTCCTCGGTCCTACTTCCTGTTACCTCTGTCCTACTTCCTGTTTCTTCTGTCCTACTTCCTATTACTTCTGTCCTACTTCCTGTTCCTCTGTCCTACTTCCTGTTACCTCTGTCCTACTTCCTGTTTCTTCTGTCCTACTTCCTATTACTTCTGTCCTACTTCCTCTTACCTCTCTCCTACTTCCTGTTACTTCTGTCCTACTTCCTGTTTCTTCTGTCCTACTTCCTATTACTTCTGTCCTACTTCCTGTTCCTCTGTCCTACTTCCTCTTACCTCTCTCCTACTTCCTGTTACCTCTGTCCTACTTCCTGTTGCCTCTGTACTACTTCCTGTTACCTCTGTCCTACTTCCTGTTTCTTCTGTCCTACTTCCTATTACTTCTGTCCTACTTCCTATTACTTCTGTACTACTTCCTGTTACCTCTGTCCTACTTCCTGTTACCTCTATCCTACTTCCTGTTACCTCTATTCTACTTCCTGTTACCTCTGTCCTACTTCCTGTTACTTCTGTCCTACTTCCTGTTACCTCTGTCCTACTTCCTGTTTCTTCTGTCCTACTTCCTATTACTTCTGTCCTACTTTCTGTTCCTCTGTCCTACTTCCTCTTACCTCTCTCCTACTTCCTGTTACTTCTGTCCTACTTCCTGTTACTTCTGTCCTACTTCCTGTTCCTCTGTCCTACTTCCTGTTACCTCTGTCCTACTTCCTGTTTCTTCTGTCCTACTTCCTATTACTTCTGTCCTACTTCCTGTTCCTCGGTCCTACTTCCTGTTACCTCTGTCCTACTTCCTGTTTCTTCTGTCCTACTTCCTATTACTTCTGTCCTACTTCCTGTTCCTCTGTCCTACTTCCTGTTACCTCTGTCCTACTTCCTGTTTCTTCTGTCCTACTTCCTATTACTTCTGTCCTACTTCCTGTTCCTCGGTCCTACTTCCTGTTACCTCTGTCCTACTTCCTGTTTCTTCTGTCCTACTTCCTATTACTTCTGTCCTACTTCCTGTTCCTCTGTCCTACTTCCTCTTACCTCTCTCCTACTTCCTGTTACCTCTGTCCTACTTCCTGTTGCCTCTGTACTACTTCCTGTTACCTCTGTCCTACTTCCTGTTTCTTCTGTCCTACTTCCTATTACTTCTGTCCTACTTCCTATTACTTCTGTACTACTTCCTGTTACCTCTGTCCTACTTCCTGTTACCTCTATCCTACTTCCTGTTACCTCTATTCTACTTCCTGTTACCTCTGTCCTACTTCCTGTTACTTCTGTCCTACTTCCTGTTACCTCTGTCCTACTTCCTGTTTCTTCTGTCCTACTTCCTATTACTTCTGTCCTACTTTCTGTTCCTCTGTCCTACTTCCTCTTACCTCTCTCCTACTTCCTGTTACTTCTGTCCTACTTCCTGTTACTTCTGTCCTACTTCCTGTTCCTCTGTCCTACTTCCTGTTACCTCTGTCCTACTTCCTGTTTCTTCTGTCCTACTTCCTATTACTTCTGTCCTACTTCCTGTTCCTCGGTCCTACTTCCTGTTACCTCTGTCCTACTTCCTGTTTCTTCTGTCCTACTTCCTATTACTTCTGTCCTACTTCCTGTTCCTCTGTCCTACTTCCTGTTACCTCTGTCCTACTTCCTGTTGCCTCTGTCCTACTTCCTGCTGCCTCCATCCTACTTCCTGTTTCCTCTGCCTAGATCTGGTTGGTTCTGATATGACAAACTGAACCCGGTCTCTGTCTCTGCTGGCCCTCAGCTCTGACCTTTGTCCAGACCCGACGTCACTTCAGAACTCCAAGAATAGTTCTGGTGGGCCCGTCAGGGTCCGGAAAGAGCCAGCTGGCCCGGCTGCTGTCTGAGAAGTACAAACTGGTGGATGGTAAACACAGGATGGTTCTGGTCGGGTCCTGGACCGGTTCTGACTTTGTTCTGATCCAGTTCTGACCCAGTCCGGTCTGTTTCCAGTGAGCTGTGGCGGCCTGCTCCGGTCGGTGGTCTCTGACGGTTCTGGTCTGGGGGCTCAGATTCAGCCCTACATGGATGTCGGCCGCCCAGGTGAGTTCAGAACCGTCTCTCAGTTCTGTGGTTCTGGACGATCTTGGTTCTGATCACCTGTATTCAGTCCCAGAATCCCTGCTGATGCCGGTTCTGGAGGCCCGACTGAGCCGGGTGGACTGCAGCTGCAGAGGATGGATCCTGCACGGCTTCCCCTGCGACATGCAGCAGGCCATGAGCCTGCACGAGTCCCAGTACCAGCCCAACAGGTACCGAACCAGAACCTGAACCAGAACCAGAACCAGAACCCATAGTTCTGGTTCTGTCACCTGCTCCTCTTCTTCCTCAGAGTCTTCTTCCTGGAGGCCAGCAATGACGTCTGCATGCAGCGGCTCTCCCTGAGAGGAACCGACCCCGTCAGCGGCGAGAGGTCAGTGGCGCGGTCCAGTCGGGCCAGAACCCGGGCCAGAACCCGGGCCAGAACCCGGGCCAGAACCCGGGCCAGAACCCGGGCCAGAACCCGGGCCAGATCGTGCAGGTACCCTTCACGGTTGCGTTTGGGTCTGCAGGTACCACGCTGTTACCCAACCAGCCCCCAGCTCTGAGGTCCAGGACCGGCTGCGGACAGCTCCGTATGACGGCAGCGCGGCGTTGTCTCAGAGGCTCAGGCAGTTCAGGTTCAACTGTGAAGGCCTGCAGGTAACCATGGCAACAGATTTCATTTGCTGACCCGGAACATGGCTCCGGATCGGAACAATCTGTGTCTCTGTCCAGACTATTTATCCAGATGCTATTCACCTGGACGCCGACCAGGACCCACACACTGTGCTGGAGTCTCTGGAGAGCCGCCTCTACACCAACTGAAACCTGAACTCACCTGGATGAACCTGGACTCACCTGGATGAACCTGGATAAGCAGCTGGACTGAGCTGAGAACACCTGAGTTTACCTGGACTGGGTTAGGCAGAATGAAGAAACTTGATGTCATAAGTTGTTTGGTTCCTAATAAAATCATTGTTGTTCTGCTGACTTTTGGTCCCAGTTCTTATTCTGGTTCTGGTTTTGTTTCAGTCAAATTTGCAGGATGTGGATCCATAATAATTTATGTTTCATGAAAGATTCTGACCCGGAGTGTTTCATACAGTTCCCGTATGAACATCGCCTTCAACAGAACCTTCAGACCCAGTTTCACCAGAACCAATCAAAACCAGATCTACTGGGAAGGAAAGAGAGCATGGGTGTGTCTGTCTCTGATTGGACAGAAACCAAACTGGGTTTGAGACAGAACCGGACTGGAATCATCATTCCTCTGAGCTGAAGCATTCTGGGGAACTGGGATTGGATCAGAATGAAAACTGGGTCGGTACAGTCCAGCTTCCTGTAACCCAGTTAGACGTTGTGAATGGTTCTGATGGCTGAGATGGTAAAGTCCAAACAGGCCTGGGTTGATTGGTGAGGGTAATGGAACCAGAACTAGCTGAGCAGCAGGCTGCTTCTATTTCTCATCCAGTAGCGGAGAGTGTGGGCTGCAGAACCGAGCCTGAGCGTCCCAGAGTCCTGGACCTTTGGACACTTCCTGCGTCTTAATTGTTACGACCTGTTAAAGACAGGGAGTGATCAATAGAATTAACAGCGACTAGTTTTGAGTTATAATATCTCAATAATCTCAGATTATTCCGCTGGTTCGTCCTGATTTCAGCATAAACTCCTCCCAGCACAGTCAGCCACACACCGAGGCGGCGGACCGTCAAAGAGCAGACCCACTGACGGGACCTTCCACAAGGCGGGGCCTCCGTGACGTAGCAGGAAGAGACTCCCACGTGTTATATTGTGTATCCGCACAGGGTTCTGGTGAGGACTTATTTCTGTTTTATTTGTTTTTATTTTAATCCACAGTTTGACAGACCGCAGCTCATTTTAAAGATGGCGGATGTTTCCTTCGCAGTGAAGAGAGGAGCTGCAGAACTTCCCTAGAAAAATGTCTGTTTAAGGGTTCTTTAGGGTTCTTTAGGGTTCTTTGGACTGGGTCCGGCTCGAGCACCAACACCTGCAGGTGATCCCTGAACACCTGGTCCTCGTGTCAGTTGGGTTGTTCCGCTGACGTCACATATCTTGGTCTAAAGGAAACAGTGAGTTAAAATCTGACGGTTTTTACATGAAGTCTGGTCCGATTCTTCTTCACGTGTTCTGTTTGGCTCGTACAGATACGTAGATGACGTCATCAGCAGAGCAGCAGCTGTGTCTGAACATCTGCAGTGTTCCTTCATCATCATCATCATCATCATCATCATCATCACTGCCCTGCAGCAGGAAATGGACGAAACACAAGAAATGGACCTCAGTGAGTCAGAACCAGCAGAGCCAACGGAACCCGGGCCAATCAGAACCAACCGGACCCAGAACCTGTTGGTCCAACAGGAGAACCCGTCCAGATTCAACCAGAAACGGACTCACCTCTGACCTCTTCGCAGACCTCCATCTGGTAACACACCTCTGATTGGTCGGTTTGCTGGGAAAGCTCCGCCCTCAAGGCGCCAAACGTGTTGGACCGCCATGTTTATTCTGAAAGTCTTTAAGTTGGTCAGTTGGTTCTGGATGGTTCTGATTGGTTCTGGTCTGAGTTGGTCCAGCAGAGGTCCGGTCTCTGGGGAGGTTCTGGTCCAGTACTGGCCCAGTTCTGCTAAACTAATTTTTCTGCAGAAGAAGCAGAAACCAGAGAGGAAGAAGAACAAGAGCTTCATCTCTCCAGAGGAAGAGGAGGAGGATGAAGAGGCTCACCTCCAGGTAATCGCGCTCTCTGACATCAGGCTCTTTTCTTCTTCTGTGGTATTAAAACAAGGCGTGCTGTTTAGGCCCCGCCCCCTGAGCTGACCCACGGAACACCACAGAAGAAGAAGAGGGGGAAGGAGGAAGTGAAAGAAGGAGGAAGTGGAGGCATCAGGACTTCCTCTCTGTTCAGGAACAACCCAGAGATCCCAGAGATCCTCAGGTACGCTCCGCTGCGATTGGCCCGGCTCGCCTGCTGCTGATTCGCCGGCTGACTTCCTGATTCCTCCCTCAGACCAGCCGTCGCCCAGCTGAAGGAGAAGGTTTTCACCTCTGACCTCTTCGCAGACCTCCACCTGCACCCCCACCTGGTAACACACCTCTGATTGGTCGGTTTGCTGGGAAAGCTCCGCCCTCAAGGCGCCAAACGTGTCGGATCAGAGCGCTGCGTCCAATCAGACGCAGTCAGGACTGGTTCTGATCGGACCTCCGCACGGTGTCGTCTGTTTCTATCTGACCCAAACCGGGTCGTTACCGTAGCAACCACTGATGTTCTGATTGGCTGTCCGTTTCCTGCAGGTAGCGACGCTCAACAAGGTTCTGAACATCTCCAGACTGACCAGGTGGGTCGGATCGGACCGGAACCAGGCAGCCCTGTGGCAGCCCTGTGGGGCCTCTGACCTCTGACCTGTGTGTGTGTGTGTGTGTGTGTGTGTGTGTGTGTGTGTGTGTGTGCAGCGTTCAGCAGCAGACCATCCCGGCTCTCCTGTCCGGACGGGACGCAGTGGTCCGGTCCCAGACAGGTTCAGGTGAGATCAGAACCTCCCAGCGGAACTGGACCTGGACCGGTCCTGTGGTTCTGCAGAACCTCACAGTCCCCTCTGTCTCAGGAAAGACGCTGTCCTACGCCGTCCCGCTGGTCCAGTGCCTGCAGGCCTCCGAGCCAAAGGTCAGCAGGTCGGACGGCCCGCTGGCGCTCGTCGTGGTTCCGACCCGGGAGGTTGGTTCCGCCTTCTCTGCAGGTTTTGGTGATCCGATCGAACCTCTGACTGATTTCTGCTCTGTTCCAGCTCGCCCTTCAGACTTACAACACCTTCCAGAAGCTGCTCAAGGTACCAGAACCCTGTTACTGGACCAGAACCAGAACCCAGTTACAGAGAAGGAGCAGCACTGGGTCCTGATCTGCTGCGGACAGGAATTTTGTGGTTCTGGTTCTGGTTCCTATGTGAGGTGGTCCCAGCTCTGGTTCTGAGCCATAAAGCAGTGTAATTTGGGTTCTGAGCCCGCTGGACCCGGAAACCCGATGGTTCTGACGTGCCTGGTTCTGGTTTTGTCCGCAGCCGTTCACCTGGATCGTTCCTGGCATTCTGATGGGAGGAGAGAAGAAGAAAGCAGAGAAGGCCAGGTACTGTCTGGTTCATCAGAACCTCCGGCTGGTTCTGGCCGTCAGCGGTCGGTTCTGATGGTTCTGCTGGTTCTGGTCTCCAGGATCCGTAAGGGGATGAACGTGGTGGTGTCGACGCCGGGCCGGCTGGCCGATCACGTCCAGAACACGCTCAGCTTGGCGCTCGGCGCAGTGCGCTGGCTGGTTCTGGACGAGGCAGACAGGTGGGTCGGACCGGGCCGCCGGGTCCAGAACCGGCGGTTCTGGTCTAATGGGTCCTCTGGCCTCCAGGATCCTCGACCTGGGTTTCGACCGGGAGCTGACAGTGATCCTGAATGGGCTGAACAGAACCGGGCCGACCCGGCAGACCGTGCTGCTGTCGGCCACGCTGAGCCCAGGTGAGGCGGCTCGCCGCTGCCCCCGCTGGTCGCGGCCCGCCACGTCCGCTGACTGCTCCTGTGCCGCAGGTGTGACGCGCCTGGCGGACGTCTGCTTGCGTGATCCAATCGGAATCAGCGTTTCTGGCCACGCCCCCTCTGACCCGCCCGGCCAATCGGAGAGCTTCGCTGTTCCCGAGGCGCTGCAGCAGTTTGTGGTTCTGGTCCCCAGTAAGGTCCGGCTGGTCTGTCTCGCCGCTTTCATCCTGGACCAGTGCAAGGTGTTCACATGGCAACCGCTGCTTCTCCGCACCTGGTTGCCATGGAGACCTGACCGCCTGCCACTCTCAGTTTTCTCACAGCAACAAGATCATCGTTTTCATGTCGAGCTGCGAAGCCGTCGAGTTCCTGCACCTGCTCCTCAGCGCCGTCCTGACCCGGCACGCGGCCAATCAGGAGCTCGGATTCCTGCGTCTCCATGGCAACATGAAACAGGAGGTAAGACCGCCCCCAGCTGGCCGCAGTTTCATCTTCATCATCGTCTCTGAGGCCGCCGCCGCCGCGTCTCTGAGGCCGCCGCCGCGTCTCTGAGGCCGCCGCCGCCGCGTCTCTGAGGCCGCCGCCGCCGCGTCTCTGAGGCCGCCGCCGCCGCGTCTCTGAGGCCGCCGCCGCCGCGTCTCTGAGGCCGCCGCCGCCGCGTCTCTGAGGCCGCCGCCGCGTCTCTGAGGCCGCCGCCGCGTCTCTGAGGCCGCCGCCGCGTCTCTGAGGCTGTGTCTCCTCCACAGGAACGCTGTCAGGTTTTCCACCAGTTCTCTGCTTCCACCACTGGAGTCCTGCTGTGCACGGTGAGCAGGGCCCACCAGGGGGCGCCGGCCGCCGTTACCACCGGGGGGCGCTGGGGGAGGCTGCTAGTTAGAAAACATAGTCAGGCTGCAAATTTTGAGGGTTTCTCTGAACATTCGGGTCGGGTCGGGCAGAACTCTTTGACTCTTTACTCAGCTTCCTCTTCTTCTTCCAGGACGTAGCCGCCAGAGGGCTGGATCTTCCTCAAGTTACCTGGATTGTTCAGGTAAAGATACAGTCAGGCTGGAAACCCACCAGAACCAGAACCGGTTAACAGGTCCGGTCCTTCTGTTTCAGTACACTCCTCCCTCGTCAGCTGCTGAGTACGTTCACCGAGTCGGCCGCACGGCTCGGATCGGAGGAAGAGGAAACAGCCTCCTCTTCCTCACTCCGGCTGAGGCCGCCTTCATCACAGAGCTGGCCAATCACAACATCAGGTGGGTGGACCGACTGCTGCAGTGAGCCAATCACTAACCAACACCGTCAGAAATATATCTGGTACCAGCATAACTGATTCTGACCGGTTCTGACTGGTTCTAACCGGTTCTGACTGGTTCTAACTGGTTCTGACTGGTTCTAACTGGTTCTGACTGGTTCTAACCGGTTCTACCCGGTTCTGACTGGTTCTAACCGGTTCTGACTGGTTCTAACCGGTTCTGACTGGTTCTAACTGGTTCTGACTGGTTCTAACTGGTTCTGACTGGTTCTAACCGGTTCTACCCGGTTCTGACTGGTTCTAACCGGTTCTGACTGGTTCTAACTGGTTCTGACTGGTTCTAACTGGTTCTGACTGGTTCTAACTGGTTCTGACTGGTTCTAACTGGTTCTGACTGGTTCTAACTGGTTCTGACTGGTTCTAACCGGTTCTGACTGGTTCTAACTGGTTCTGACCGGTTCTACCCGGTCTGACTGGTTCTAACCGGTTCTGACTGGTTCTAACTGGTTCTGACCGGTTCTACCCGGTTCTGACTGGTTCTAACTGGTTCTGACTGGTTCTAACCGGTTCTGACTGGTTCTAACTGGTTCTGACCCGTTCTACCCGGTTCTGACTGGTTCTAACTGGTTCTGACCGGTTCTACCCGGTTCTGACTGGTTCTAACTGGTTCTGACTGGTTCTAACCGGTTCTGACTGGTTCTAACTGGTTCTGACCGGTTCTACCCGGTTCTGACTGGTTCTAACTGGTTCTGACCGGTTCTACCCGGTTCTGACTGGTTCTAACTGGTTCTGACCTGTTCTACCCGGTTCTGACTGGTTCTAACTGGTTCTGACCGGTTCTACCCGGTTCTGACTGGTTCTAACTGGTTCTGACCGGTTCTACCCGGTTCTGACTGGTTCTAACCGGTTCTTACTGGTTCTACCCGGTTCTGACTGGTTCTAACCGGTTCTGACTGGTTCTAACTGGTTCTGACCGGTTCTACCCGGTTCTGACTGGTTCTAACTGGTTCTGACCGGTTCTACCCGGTTCTGACTGGTTCTAACCGGTTCTGACTGGTTCTAACTGGTTCTGACCGGTTCTACCCGGTTCTGACTGGTTCTAACTGGTTCTGACTGGTTCTAACCGGTTCTGACTGGTTCTAACTGGTTCTGACCGGTTCTACCCCGGTTTCGACTGGTTCTAACTGGTTCTGACTGGTTCTAACCGGTTCTGACTGGTTCTAACTGGTTCTGACTGGTTCTAACCGGTTCTGACTGGTTCTAACCGGTTCTGACTGGTTCTAACTGGTTCTGACCGGTTCTACCCGGTTCTGACTGGTTCTAACTGGTTCTGACTGGTTCTAACCGGTTCTGACTGGTTCTAACTGGTTCTGACCGGTTCTACCCGGTTCTGACTGGTTCTAACTGGTTCTGACTGGTTCTAACCGGTTCTGACTGGTTCTAACTGGTTCTGACTGGTTCTAACCGGTTCTGACTGGTTCTAACTGGTTCTGACCGGTTCTACCCGGTTCTGACTGGTTCTAACCGGTTCTGACTGGTTCTAACTGGTTGCAGTGTCTCAGAGATGAAACTGGAGGACATTCTATCCTGTCTAATGAAGGACGATGCCTTCAAGGGGCGTGGGAAATACAACAGCCAGGTGGGTGGAACCTCTGATTTTAGCCTGACCTCTGACCTCAGTGGGAGGAGCTGACCTCTGATAGTCCCGTGTGTTCCCAGACGTCGCCCCAGGCGCTGCAGCAGGACATCAGGGAGCGCGCCACCGTCCTGCAGACGCAGCTGGAGGACTTTGTTCACTCCGACGCCCGCTGGGTGCAAGCGGCTAAGAAAGGTACCGTGGTCACATGACCCGCTGGATGCGTTTGTGATTGTCTGGCTTGACTTGTTGCCGTGCTGCAGCGCTGCAGTCCTTCCTGCGGGCCTACACCACCTACCCCGCCCACCTGAAGCAGGTGTTCCACCTGCGGCGCCTCCACCTGGGTCACGCCGCCAAGAGCTTCGGCCTGAGAGACGCTCCGCACGGCCTGAGCCCTGGCCTTGACCCCGGAGGCCACCGGGGCCACCGGGTCTGGGAAAGCAGCAGGAACCAGAACCAGACCGGGAAACGGGCAGGAAGCCCGAGGAAGAACCAGAACCAGAACCCGGGGTTGAAACGGTGAGTGGCTGATCCTCCGTCTGATACTACATTACCCATAGTTCCCTGTTGCTGTTACTGTGGAAACCCACTTCCTCCATCAGGCTCCGTCCGGGTCACAGGGAAGCGGCTCTAATCCGGTCAGAGTTCTCCAGCGGCTTGGAGGGAGGCGGGGCCAAGAGGAAGAGGAAGAGGAAGGTCACTGAGGAAGAGGAGGACTGATGAAAGTGGTTCTGAACAGAACCGTCTTGGCCCGAATCCCCAGAATCGCTCTGGTTCTGTCAGGCTGGACCCGGGCCAGCAGACTGGGTTTATCGTCAGAGTGAGACATCGTGACACAGAACGTCTTTGATTGGACAAATTTTATTTACAATCAAATAAAAAACAGAAAAAGTTTCAGGTTTATATTTCAAACACATTTCAGACCGGGCCCGGTTCTGGAGAACCACAGGGGAGGAACCAGGTCAGTACCGGGTCAGAATCTGATCGGAACCGGATCAGAACTGGGCCTCCAGGCGGTTTGGATCTGACTGGTTAGGATCCAGGAGTTCTGATGGTCCGTTTGGTTCTACGGAACCAGAAAAAATCCAGAGCTTCACCACAGAACCTTTTGGACCTTTATGCTGCAGATCCACAGGCTCTGGTTCTTCCAGACGACAGGCTTCTGTCCAATCAGAGAGCAGCTTTCTTTCACCTTTGACCTGATCAAACCACGCCGTCCGGTGCCATGGGATCGGAAGGACGCTGCTGTGACATCACGCCGTCCAGACTGGCCGGTCCGGTTTCAGAGACTGGGTCAGGTTCTGAAACTGATGAAGGACCAAACAATGGTGGGCGTGGCCTCCGTGCAGCTACGGGTCCGTTGTGGGCGGGGCCACAGGGGTCAGAGGACACCGGAAGTGAGGCGGAGGAGCCAGCCAGCCAGCAGGTCCAAACTGGAAGCGGCCTGGCGATCCACTGGGTTCTGAAACAGAAATCCGGAGTTGGAACCGGATCCGGTTCCAACAGGCCCAACTTTGTTTTATCCTGCAGATTAAGGTTGGGCTGAGTCCAATATCTACATCTGTTATGTTCTGTGGGGAGAAGCTCAGTAGACAAGGAACAGCTTTTATTCTTCTGCTGCTGCTCCGGCTACTGGCACGCCACCTAGTGGTGGACACAACATCTATCTAGGACTATACATTATGTGTGTAGGTCTGTGTGTGTGTGTAGGTGTGTGTGTGTAGGTGTGTGTGTGTGTAGGTGTGTGTATGTGTGTCTGTGTGTGTGTGTGTGTGTAGGTGTGTGTGTGTGTGTGTGTATGTAGGTGTGTGTGTGTGTAGGTGTGTGTGTGTGTCTGTGTGTGTGTAGGTGTGTGTGTGTAGGTGTGTGTGTGTGTAGGTGTGTGTGTGTAGGTGTGTGTGTGTGTAGGTGTGTGTGTGTGTAGGTGTGTGTATGTGTGTGTGTGTGTGTAGGTGTGTATGTGTGTGTGTAGGTGTGTGTATGTGTGTCTGTGTGTGTAGGTGTGTGTATGTGTGTCTGTGTGTGTGTGTGTGTAGGTGTGTGTGTGTGTGTGTGTGTGTGTAGGTGTGTGTGTGATGATGATCATTGTCAAAAACGTGAAAAAAGTCTGACAGTTTATCCAGAACACGTTATCGGGTTCTTCTCGGCGTCCATTGTTCTCCAGTTGAGATGTGATGGGAGACGCCCATCAACGTGCTGGTCGGTTCCAACGGATCCAGAACCTGACCGGGACTGAAATATGGTAAGGACGCATCAGACAATCACATCGCAGATGTAGATGTGGTTCTGATCCAGCATAACTTCTGGTTGTACTCTAAACACTAGTGACGGTAAATGAGGATTCATGAAGCCTTTCGACCCAAAGCATAACTGTGTCAATACTGTGTCACTGAATACTGACACCTGCTGGACATTAGAAATCCCTGCAGGCAATGTAGTTGCCAGACTGATTTCTTGACCTAGTCCAGTGGTCCAGTTACTGCGGACCGGTCAAGACTTGCGATGTGGCTCCGGGAGACAGGGCCGTAAGATCATCCTTTTTTCCCCATTTGCGACATCGCAGCCTGTTGAATGTGACAGGGAGCCAATCAGAAAGCCCGGTGACGTAAGAACGGAGGGGAATCCCTAACATGGCGCAACTGAGAGCCTGGTGGACATCGGAGATGATGTGTGGAAATGTTTACTGTATCTGGTTCTGTTTAGTCAGTTAAAATGTTAACTATGATGAATCACAGAGCAGCTGCTCCTTTTATCAAACAGCTTTTCTTTTTGTTTCGTCTTTTATTGCTTAAAATGATCCACAAATGATCACTACTGTTTTTACATCGTCATCGCTTTGATTATTGGAAATTCACTGTGGGATGTTTCACTGGATCTTCTTCTTCGGTTCTGGTGCAGTGGAACCGGTTCTGGTGCAGTGGAACCGGTTCTGGTGATGTGGAACCGGTTCTGGTGCAGTGGAACCGGTTCTGGTGCAGTGGAACCGGTTCTGGTGCAGTGGAACCGGTTCTGGTGATGTGGAACCGGTTCTGGTTCTGTGTTGCTCCTGGACTCTCAAACCGACCGAATCTGTTGGACTTTTATCGGCTCTGAGGTCACAGAGGTTTGGGAAATCGGCCAACGATCCTTAAACCAACCAGACTTAAAACTTACATCTGCTCTCATCTTGACCTCTGACCTCACGCTCTCTGACTCTGGTTGCTATGGTAACACTTACATGTCCCTTCAAAATAAGATGCAGCTGCGCCACAAAACCAACATTTTACTTTGGTGAAAGTTTTAACTCAGGATATCGACTGATGGACCCTGAGCTGTTTCTCCTTCTGGAGACGAGAGACACCTGGTCTCCATGGTGATGCAGTCTGAAGCTTCATTGGCTCATTAATTTGTAGAATACCTGAGTTTATCCAGGTGTATCTGGGATTCATCCTGATGCTCTATGATGCCTCAGCACTGAGGAGGTGGATTTAATAAATCAACAGTTCTGTCAAACATATGAAACTTAACCTGCAGGACATGATATGAATATAAACTAAAAGTCAATTTCAGCTGAATTAGGATTCAGATAGATCCAGTAGAAACTGGAAAGAACCGGATGAAACATCAACCAACAGCTTATTTAAGATCAAAACGACCAAACCTTTCGTTTCCCTTCAGGCTCCACATTGACGCTGTAAAAGATCAAGAATCATTTTTGCAGATTTGCTTCCATTTTTGGCTCTGGTGAAGCAACGCGCACCGACACGGCGTTCTTCTATGGGTCTGACGCATCGGTCCAAATTCAATCATTACAAACCTTCAATCTCTTTTATAAAGGGTTCAATAAAAAGCATAAATTAGTCAAATCAATCAGATTTGTTCCTGAATCTTTTCTAGAGTCTATAAGAAACCTGGAGGTCCATGTCCGAGCGCAACCGGTAACCAGAACCCACCCGACCCGACAGACAGCAGAGAAAGTGGCGGGATGCTGATTTTATAAAAGAAAGGAAAAGGCTGAAAGACATAATGAGCCGAACTGCGACCAGAACCAGAACCATACCTCCCGGATCCTCCTGGATCTTTCCTCCTCTCCCTCTCCAGGTGTGTCTCTGACCTTGTTTTCTCCTCTGCTGGATCCAACCTGAAGGTTCTGTTCACTGTGGGTCGGTTAAAAAACTTTGGGCTCAGCTCGGTTCTGCTGAGATCCATTCAGTAATTGAAAAGTAAAGAATAAATGCAACAATCAGGTTTTAATGATTATTTATTTATGATTGATGCAGAGAACCGGACCGGACCAGAACCTGGTTCTGTCTTGTAAAAGAATGAAACTCGTTCCCATGGAGCAAACATTGCTGCTTTATGAGCAGTAATCAGAACCGGTCCGGTTCTGGCTCCAATCCGGCCGTCCTCTCTGGATC